GCCTCCGCCTCCGCCGCCGCCTCCACCTCCGCCACCTCCTCCACCTCCGCTCCCACTGCCACCGCCGCCGCCACCTCCTCCTCCACTGCCGCCACCGACCCCTCCACCCCCACCTCCACTCCCACCGCCACCCCCACTCCCCCAACTGCCGCCACCTCCACCTCCACCGCCCCCGCTCGCTCCTCCAGCGCCCTTGCCCCCCTTGCCCTTGCCAGAGCGGCGTCTCCCGCTAGGGGCAGACGCCGCACCGACCGACTCAAGAACAAGGAGGTCGGCCGCAGCAGCAGAGGCAACAGAGGGCAGAAGGGGGGAGGGGGAACACCCCTCAAAGATGGGGGTGCGCGGGTCACCACGAGAGGCCCCTACAGCGACTATGCTCTTCTCGGCCGCTAGGAGGGACTTCTCGAGGAGGTCAACAGTGAGAGTGGTGGGACAGACAGAGAGAAAGTGGTCCCTGACTACGCGAAGGGAGTCAGGAAGGCGAGTGACTATGTAGTAAAGAGTGATGTACATGGGGGGGGGGTTCCTGGCGCAGAAGTCAGGAGGGAGTGCAGCGCGGTAGCGAGTGTCACTAGTGCGGAGGTGCGTAATGAGGTCAGTGACTGTGGGAAAGGCAGTAAGATCAGGAAAGAGGTACGGTAGCATGAGACGGCTCAGTGCAGCAGTGGCAGGGGAGGAGTAGCGCGCAACTACAGCGTCGTACAAGGTCTGAGCACTCTTGTACTGACTAAAGTGCGCACGCTCGGAGGTAGGGAGGTGGCGACGCACAGCAAGACGTGCAGCAGCGTCGCGCGTGGCCCACTGGGAGCGAACAGTGGCGTCAGCATCAGCAGCAGGGGCAGTGGAGGTGCCAGAGGTGAGGTCAAAGAGAGAGAGGCCGTCTGCCCTATCGCACTGTAAGAACAGCTGCAGGTCATCTACCCAGACCTCAAAGTCAATGGCCCTACCCTCAGCGTCAAAGGCGAGAACACTAGGGGTAGCCATGACCCTAGACGACTAGCAGCGCAAACAGTGGGGTGAGGACAGTGCAGTGAAAAGGCGCTGTGCTCACCAGACTGGGCAGGTCGGGCGGCCCTGAAGGAGGGCGGCGCGGCGGCTCGGCGGCTCAGCTGCTGGGCGGCCCGGCGGCTCTGCGGCTCAGCTGCTGGGCGGCTCGGCTGCTGGGCGGCTCGGCTGCTGGGCGGCGCGGCCGCTGGGCGGCTCGGCTGCTGGGCGGCTCGGCTGCTCGGCGGCTGGGCGGCTCGGCTGCTGGGCGGCTCGGCGGCTCGGCTGCTGGGCGGCTCGGCTGTGCTGCTGCAGGGCACGGGGCCGCAGGTAAGGGCGGCGGGGCCGCTGGTAAGGGCGGCGTGGCCGCGGGTAGGGTGGCGGGGCCGCAGATAGGGTGGCTGGGCCGCAGCAGAGGGCGGCGGGGCCGCAGGTAAGGGCGGGGCCGCAGGTAAGGTGGCGGGGCCGCGAGGAAGGGCGGCGGGGCCGCTCGGTAGGGCGGCGGGGCCGCGCGATGGGGCGGCGGGGCCGCGCGAAGGGGCGGCGGGGCCGCGCGATGAGGCGGCGGGGCCGCTGGGTTGGGCGGCGGGGCCGCGCGATGAGGCGGCGGGGCCGCGCGATGGGGCGGCGGGGCCGCGCGATGGGGTGGCGGGGCCGCGAGGAAGGGCGGCGGGGCCGCGCGATGGGGCGGTGGGGCCGCGCGATGGGGCGGCGGGGCCGCGATGGGGCGGCGGGGCCGCGCGATGGGGTGGCGGGGCCGCGAGGAAGGGCGGCGGGGCCGCGCGATGGGGCGGCGGGGCCGCGCGATGGGGCGGCGGGGCCGCGATGGGGCGGCGGGGCCGCTAGGTTGGGCGGCGGGGCCGCTAGGTAGGGCGGCGGAGCCGCTAGGAGAGAGGCGGCGGGGCCGCAGTGCAGGGCCGCTAGGGCGGCTCGACGAAGTGAGGGCCCGAAGCGCGACTCGGGCCGAGCGCGCTTCGGGCAGGAAAAAAAAATTTAGATGTGGTGGGCCCTAAGCACAGTTCCCGAGGGGGAACCTGCTCGATACCATGAGAAGATTTGAGCAAGAATGGATGAACTATGAAAAATGAAGTGAGTACAAATATGAAACCCTAATTGGTTGTACCCCCTATGGGATACCCCACTATAGCCTACACAACAGCATAAGCTATAATGTTCTGACATTACATATTTGTGCGTGGGCGAGTCTGTTCCCACTGATTTGGCGTGGAGAAAGTTGGCATTTCGGAGTATGTTGCTAGCTATTATTTTGGTGGGCTGTTAGCTTTCGTTTTTTGTGGGTTAGTATTAATCTTTGCTTGTGCTTGTTTGTGATCGGTCGCTGTGAATCCTTTAGTGTTTGCATCGATGATGTAAAACTCCGATTTGTCCTGATCAGGGTAAAAAAAGAACATATTTTATTTTTTACCATAAAAAACGGTCGTAACGGTTCCAGGAGGTGTTTTTCGTTCAAGGAAAACAAACGGCAGATTACGGAATGAAATGGATGGCAGATTTCAGGGGGATGAAGAGGACGAGCCCCTCCTTGCATTGCATGTGTGTGTTTGTAGGCATGATTGAAAATGTTTTCGACCTTGTTTTTCCGTTTATTTTTCTTGGTGACAAGAGTTCTGTAACACAAAAACGCCGCATGTTTGGAAATTCACCGTAAAAGCAGACCATAATTTACGAAAACCGTATTTTTTTACCTTGGTCCTGATCCTCGACAGGACCAGGTAATAAAAAAGACTTTAAAGCACAAGTCTCACAGTGATTTTAGACATGTAAGGCTTCCAATCCATTCTGGAATTGACCCCGACAGCCCATCGTTCCGAGCAACAGATCTGCAATGTGGAGAATAGGAAAAAAAAATAAAGAGCCACGGAAAGCAGAGTAATTGTCTAAAAATTTAAAAAAACAATCCCCAGCATGCACATCCAAGAGGGGCTAGGTGTAAAACTAATACTTTTAGTTCAACTCCCACTCTCTCCTTGTACGTTTACAGTGGAAACAAGCACCGCAACACCAGCACAGAGCTAATGGTTGCTTCCAGCGCAACATTGAGTTGTGGATGGCAACCCATGAACGACTAGCACTCACAATCTTGCAAGGTTTGACATCCTTGACATGGAGTCGGGAATTGGTCCTTCGAGGTAGTTGTCATTAAGAGACCTTATGGGGAAAAGGCAAGCACCCAATGAATGAGCATCCAGGGAAACAGATTACACATGTAAGGGTACATTCGTGGCCCGTGTCAGACTTCAGGTCAAAAGCCCTTTGTCTCCAATTTGGCTCACCCGAACTCGGATTTGCCTCACAAACGAGCCACTTCGGGTCTTCCGAGCCTCCACTTCGGGTCTGACCTGATGTCTGACACGGGCTACGAATGTACCCTAAGTCTGATGAGTTTATGATGACGAACAAATTCTAGATGTTTTTTCGTTTGCCCAACATGAACATGTCCGCCCGAACTCGAACATATTCGCTGCGAACAGGAAAGGCCAAAAATCTTTACCTGTTCGGTTCGCCACGAACATGTTCGCCCCCCTGCTCAAGCCTACACACAGAGTCATCAAGCTCAGCATTTCTTGTTGGGATTTCACAGAACGTGTGAATGTGTGTTAGCGCAGGGCTGAAACGAACCCATCATCGCCCTCGCCACAAGTCCAGTTTTCCCCGAGCAAAGTTCTCAACTTATGCCTCGCCAAGTCAGATTGAAGCTTGTTCAGACACTGGCGATGATTGGTGCACACTGGGATTCAAACTCAAGACCTTTGACCATTACCCTAGGGCCTAGGCTGGCCGGCATGACGGTGACTTTCCAAAGAGCTGGCCCATCCAGACCACCCTCGATCGGCCCGGCCCTGGTCTACGCCGGCCTTCAGCCTGGCCCGTGCTTAGGCCTACCAACAAGTACTACCACATATCACCCAACTTGCTACGCTGTTTTAAAACGAATCGAGTAATGAAAGGGTAACACTTGAGGTGCTTGTCTTGTCCCAATCCTACTCCCAATAATGTCAGGCTGCTCAAAAGTCCAATAGTGGATGGAATTGATCCCTCGAGTCCATTGCTGGAAAGATCCCTAAAAAGGGATGGGAAGGTAAGAGAAGCAGCGTGCATGCATTGACAAGCAAGCTCAGTTGGAATTGACAAAGCCAGTGTTTTTGACGCTAGCGTTTTGACACTACTTTTTTACGCTGGACGCAACCCTCCGAGAGATTGATGTTGGTTTTGACGCTCTGGCGGACAGGGAAAAAAACCCTTCGGGCAGCTTAAAAAACCCTTAAGGCTAAGATCGCCTTAAAACGCCTAACCTAAGATCGCGGTCTAAGCTAGCAACGGTAGATAGGCATGAGCATACAAGCGAACACCCGTTCGGTTCGTCTCGAACAAGTTCGAGACGAACCGAACGGGATTTTTTTTGCCAAAAATTGTTCGGCACGAACATGTTGGATGTTCGTGCGAACATGTTCGGTGTTCGTCGGCGGTGATTTGCCGAGCCGCGTCGAACACGAACATGTTCGTGTTCGACGCGTTACACAGATGAACACCTCGGTGTTCGTCGACGTATTGGCCGCGAAATATTTTCGCGTCGCGGCCAATTCGAGTGTTGGTCATTTTTTATAGCTACGCGACCTTGTCGCTGCCACCAGCCAGCCCAGCCCACACCCTCACCTACTACTACTACTAGCCTAGTGGGGAAGATGTTTCATTTCCCACGTGTTGACGAGTTGCTTACATGTTTTAATATTAGAAGATAGCCAGCATCTACTCCTTCCAGCGCATAAGTTGAGGTTTAGGGTTACTATTAGGGTTTCCACCGTTGAAGGGGTTTCCACCGTTAGGGTTCAGGTCAAAGTGACACTCCTCTCCCCACACCATCGGGAGCATCACCATTCTATCAAGGGGCTAGGTTTCTTGAGCCGTCGCGGGAAATGGCCTCTCACCAACAAGTTAGTGCAGGGCGGGGTGGCCGCGGTAGTCAGAGCAATGCTCCATCGTCTGCACCACGACCTATGCAGGGTCGAGTAGGTGACGGCCCTGGAGGAGTTAGTGCTTGTTTCGTCGGTGGGCTTCTGTCCATGCCCGTGCCGTCAACCCGTCTGTCGTTCCGTTACACGGGGGATCGACCCCGTTCAGCTGGGCAGACGCGCACCACCACTCAGACCGGCAGTGAGGCGGATGAGGAGGAGGAGGATAACGATGAGGGGGAGAATGAGGAGGAGGAGCAGGACGAGGAGGGGAGCGGTGATGGTAGTGAGCCGGGGTGGACACCCGAGATGCATGGCGGTGGTGGGGACGGGGGAGGAGATGAAGATGAGGAGATGGAAGGGTTAGAGCCGGAGGGGGTGGAGGAGGGGGTTGGTGAAGGAGGAGGGGTTGCCGCGGCTGCCGCAGAGGAGGCCTCTCAGCACGTGGGTAGAGGACGGGTGCGTGGCGGTGGCGGTGTTAAGGTTGGTCGAAAGAGGCCGTTAGTTGGGAACAGGAAGAAGAAACCCGAGAAGTTGCGGACACGAGCGTATTCTTGCACATTTAGAGGGGTGGATTTGGGCGAGGGAGTGGTTGCTCCAGAGTTCATTGACGAGGAGGGAGATGCCGAGAGTAGCAGGGGGAGTGGCAAGGGGAGGAAGAAGCGGGGGTGGCAAGTTCAAATGTTTGGGCCTAAGGGGACTGACGACAAGCGGCAATGCAAGATTTGCACAGATCGAATTTCCTGGAGGGGATCTACACCTACACCAGGCGAGCGGCACTTCGAGAGCTACCACACTGCTCATATGGATGTGTGGTACCACCGTTGCCACAATCCACATCTGCAACTGCCGGGCGAGACGTTTCCGAGGGGGGGCTACGTCGGAGTGCCGGATGGCTACGTATATTATTGGCCGCATGCAGAAAGCTGGCCTAACATCCCTAAGAAGGGAGGGAGGGCAGAGGGGCGTGGGGCGGAGGGGGCTGGCGAGGCTGGGATCAAGAGCTACATGTCAAAGAAGCTGTCAGAAGTGGAGCTTCGTCAGGCAATCGCCAAGCTGGTGGTGACCTGTGACCTACCCTTCAAAATTGTGGAGGCTGAGGCGGTAAGGGTTTATTGCTGCTGGGTGTGGCCGTTGTGGTGTGGGTATGGCGAGTGCATGATGCTGAGGGGAGGGTGTAGGGTTGGGACACTTACGCCTCTCCTATCCATGTCATTCTTGAGGTGTTCTGCGAAACCCAACGCAACCTCGTTGTGTGAACTCCCTCCACCCACCCCACCAGTTTCGCGAGCTTCTGACCCTGTGCAACCACCACTGCGGGCAGAAGGGCTTCATACCTTCGCGCTGGACAGTGGCACGCGACATTGTGGCGTTTAGTGCGGCCGCTCTGCATGCTGCCAAGGCGGAGCTGCTGGGGAAGGAGGGGGAGTTGGGATGCAAGGTGTCATACACCATTGACATCTGGACTACACCCAATGGGAAGGCTTGGTTAGTTGTGACAGGTCACTGGATTGACGAGACGTTTCAGCTACGCGAGGCAGTGCTGGAGTTTCGCGAGCTGACGGGACGTCATGGAGCGGTGCAGATTGCGCAGGTCGTGGAGGACACGGTGGTGATGTTGGGGTTGGAGGGGCGTTGTCTGGGCCTCACCACAGACAACGCCTCGGCCAACATAGCCGCGTACCGGAGGCTGAACGAGGAGGGTGGAGGTCGGGCTTTCTTCAACTCCCGCCAGCACTACAGGTATGAGTGGGTGTGGATGTGATAACGGGGTGGCTTTTCAGGGACAGCATTGTGGGTGTGTGTGGGGATACTTGGGGTTATTGGAATCCCCCACCCCACGGCACACAAAGACCATGTGTCAGTACCTCCCAAATCCCATGCCTTTGGTGCTATGGTCCGCAGGTGCTTGTCACATGTGGTTAACCTGGCAGTGCAGGCAGGACTGAAGGTGGATGCCATTCGCGCCTTGTTGAAGGTGCTCAGAGACATGGCGTCCTGGATTGGGTACTCGCCGCAGCGCTCGGCGGCGTTTCTTGGACTTCAGCGCGGCTTGAACCAGCAGGCCCGTGTCAAAAAACAACCCTTGAAGCTGGTGCAGGACAGTCCAACCCGCTGGGGTTCGACTCATGCCATGATCGACCGCTTCCTTGAGCTGGAGAATCCGATCACTGTGTTCCTGGCCTCCACCCAGGTATAGGGTGGGAACGGGACATGTGTGGGTGTGGCATGTGTGTGGCATGGGTGTGGCATGGGTGTGGCATGGGTGTGGCATGTGTGTGGCATGGGTGTGGCATGTGTGTGGCATGGGTGTGGCATGGGTGTGGCATGGGTGTGGCATGTGTGTGGCATGTGTGTGGCATGTGTGTGGCATGTGTGTTGCATGTGTGTGGCATGTGTGTGGCATGTGTGTGGCATGTGTGTGGCATGTGTGTGGCATGTGTGTGGCATGTGTGTGGCATGTGTGTGGCATGTGTGTGGGGGGGTTGGTCGCATGGAGTGCGATACGTATTGATAACCGCCCTCTACCTCATATGCATCACATCACCCTAACCCTAACAGGGCTTGGCAAAGGAGGACAAGGAGAAGGTGGAGAAGATGCGCCTTTCAGATGAGCAGTGGGGGATGTTGAAGGAGCTGAGGGCCTTTCTCAGCCCCTTCGCCAAGGTCTCCAAGGAAGCCGAGGGGACGGCGTACCCGACGCTGTCGATGGTGGTGCCGTACTACAACGGCCTCATCGACGCCATGGAGGCCCGACTAGCGAAGGGGCCCTCGGCGCTGTTGAAGCCTCGTCGAAAAGGCGCTGAAAATCATGAAGAAGTACGCCTACATCAGCAGCAACGAGGGCTGGATTGCCACCTTCCTGGATCCATCCATGAAGGCGGCGTGGTTCGACGACGCCCACTGGGAGACGCAGCATCCATCGACGGAGCCGAGGGAGAGGCCGCGCCCAGCGTCGGGTGAGGTGATCGCGCTGGTACGTGAGCGGGTGGCCGAGTACCAGGCGGCGGCTAGGGAGCTGGCTCCAAGGACCACTACACTACCCACGGTGGTAGAGGAGGAGGAGGGAGAGAGGGGGGGGGACGACGAGGACGACCTTTATCTCCCTAGTCGCCGACGCCTTGCGGCGCGTCTGTCTGCGAGCCAGGCGGCGGGGGGGGGGTGGTCTTGTGCAGGACGATGAGGTCAGCAGGTACTTGTCCGAGAGGGTGCGGTATGACGTGTCAGCGCTAGAGTACTGGCGCACCTCCACGAACATGGAGACGCTGAAGCGGTTGGCGAGGGATTATCTCGCGATCCCTGCCACGTCTGCTGCGAGCGAGCGCGTATTCTCCTTGGGCCGCAACCTCATTTCATGGAAGCGTCACCGCCTGAACTCCGAGAGGGCGCGATCCTGCATGATTCTCAGATCATGGTATGGATCGCACCCTGGCCAGAGGATCGGCGAGGGCCGCCGCATGAAAGGGGTCGCAGCACTGGAGATCGCTATTGAGGGCGAGGGTGCGGAGGAGGAGGAGGAGGAGGAGGAGGAGGAGGAGGAGGAGGAGGAGGAGGCGGAGGGGGAGGAGGTGGAGGGGGGGGCGGGGGAGGAGGTGGAGGGGGGGGCGGCGGAGGATGTGGAGGAGGAGGCGGCGTGGGGGAGAGGGGCGGACGCAGTAGCAGGTGGCACGGATGATGGTGGTGTTGGTGGGGGGGGTGGGACAGGGATGTAGTTTTGATTTTGTTGGTGGCCTATGGAGGGACCCTTTGGTGACTTTTATGGAGATATGTTAGGTAGACCTTTGACTGTGGACCTGTTTTATGCCGCATGTTATTTATGCTCATTAAAGTTATTATAAACACGGCAAAGGTAAGACAAAACAATAACAATCTGAAAACCCTACCAATCGGGATGCATTGGCATTGTTTCATAATGCTAAGCCCTCAGGGGCGAACACGAACATGTTCCTGGCGAACATGTTCGTGTTCGCCATTGTGTTCGAAATGTTCGTCTTCACAGGCGAACTTCGAACACCCCTTTGGGCGAAACCCGTTCGGCGAACCGAACACTGTTCGGTTCGCCGAACGACCCTGTTCGAGCCAAAGCGAACGCGAACATGTTCGTGTTCGCCTCGTGCTCATCCCTAACGGTAAACATTTGCTGGTCGAAACCCTAGAATGAAGTCGAGTAAGTTGAGGAGTGGGCTAAATGTGTGTTTTGGTGGGGTGATGTAGATGTGGTGCAGTGGAAAGGGGTGGGGGGGTTGGATTATGTTGAAGGTTTTTTTTTTGTGTTGTGACTTGTCGATAGGGTGTCAGATTTATATGACATAGCTACTGTAGGCTATAGTGGGGTAGCACATATAGGGTACAGTTGTCTAGGGTTTGCATTTGTACCCAACTTTCCCTTAGTCAATTCATTCTCGTTCAGTTTCTCATGGTATCAGAGCAGGTTCCCCTGTGGGAACTGTTCCTAGGGCCCACCACCTATTTTTTCCTGCCCGGAGCGCGCTCTACACTGCCCGAGTCGCGCTCCCCTCTCTCGACCCTGTCGCGCCGCCTTAGCGGCCCCGTCGCGTCGCGCTTGCGGCCCCGTCGCGTCGCCCTTGCGGCCCCTTCACGTCGCGCCGCCCTAGCGGCCGCGTCGCGCCGCCCTCGCGGCCCCGATCCGCCGCCCTCGCGGCTCCGTCGCGTCGCGCCGCCCTCGCGGCCCTTTCACGCCGCCCTCGCGGCCCTTTCTAGCCGCCCTCGCGGCCTCTTCAAGCCGCCCTCGCGACCCCCCCCTCCTAGCCGCCCTAGCGGCCCCGTCGCCTACCCCTGCGGCCCCGGCGCCGCCCTTCCCTGCCTCGGCGCCGCCTCTGCTGGCCCCGTCGCCTACCCCTGCGGCCCCGGAGCTGCCCTTCCCGGCCCCGGCGCCGCCTCTACTGGCCCCGACGCCGCTCCACCCGGCCCCGCCGCCGTCCCCACGCGGCCCCGCCGTCACCACCGAGCCGCCGGCGCCGCCGAGCTGCTGCCGAGCCGCCCGATCCACCCGAGCCGCCCGAGCCGCCGCGCCACCTGAGCCGCCCGAGCCGCCGTGTCGCCGAGCCGCCGAGCTGCAGTTGCTGCCGAGCCGCCGTACCGCCGAGCCGCCCGAGCCGCCGAGTCGCCGAGCCGCAGTTGCTGCCGAGCCGCCGTACCGCCGAGCCGCCCGAGCCGCCCGAGCCGCCGAGTTGCCGAGCCGCCGAGCCGCCGAGCCGCCGAGCCGCCCTGTCCGGTAAGAGCAGCGCCTCTGTCACTGCACTGCCCTTACCCTACTGTTCGCGCTGCTAGTCTACTGCTGTCATGGCTACCCCTAGTGTCCTCGCTTTTGACGCTGAGGGTCGGGCCATTGACTTTGACGTCTGGGTAGATGACCTGCAGCTTTTCCTACAGTGCGATAGGGCAGATGGTCTCTCCCTCTTTGACCTCACCTCTGGTGCCTCTCCTGCCCCTGCTGCTGATGCCGACGCCACTGTTCGCTCACAGTGGGCCACACGCGATGCTGCTGCACGTCTTGCTGTGCGTCGCCACCTGCCTACCTCTGAGCGTGCGCACTTTAGCCAGTACAAGAGTGCTCAGACCTTGTACGACGCTGTAGTTGCGCGCTACTCCTCCCCTGCCACTGCTGCACTGAGCCGCCTCATGCTACCGTACCTCTTCCCTGACCTTGCTGCCTTTCCCACAGTCGCTGACCTCATTACGCACCTCCGCACTAGTGACACTCGCTACCGCGCTGCGCTTCCTGCTGAGTTCTGCGCCAAGAACCCCCCCCCCATGTACATCACCCTCTACTACATAGTCACCCGGCTCCCTGACTCCCTTCGCGTAGTCAGGGACCACTTCCTCTCAGTTTGCCCCACCACTCTCACCGTTGACCTCCTCGAGAAGGCCCTCCTAGCAGCAGAGAAGAGCATAGTCGCTGTAGGAGCCTCTCGTGGTGACCCTCGCACCCCCGTCTTTGAGGGGTGTTCCCCCTCCCCCCTTTTGCCCTCTGTTGCCTCTGCTGCTGCGGCCGACCTCGTTGGTTTCGAGTCGGTCGGCGCTGCGTCTGCCCCGAGCGGGAGACGCCGCACCGGCAAGGGCAAGGGGGGCAAGGGTGCTGGAGGGGCTGGCGGGGGTGGCGGAGGTGGCGGTGGAGGCAGTGGAGGGGGTGGGGGTGGTGGTGGGAGTGGTGGCGGGGTTGGAGGTGTCGGTGGCGGCAGTGGAGGCGGAGGCGGCGGCGGCGGTGGCGGTGGGAGCGGAGGTGGTGGAGGTGGCGGCGGTGGAGGAGGCGGCGGCGGAGGAGGTGGAGCTGGTCGGGGTGGCACTGCGCAGAGGGTCGGCTCCGGTGGTGGTCAGCGCCAGCAGCAGCAGCAGCAGCAGCAGCAGCAGCAGCGCACTCGTGACATCCCCCTCCCTCAGCAGCTCCGTGAGTGGTACGCTGCACGCCAGCGGGGTGGGGGTACTGGTCCGTGCACCTACGTCCTACGCACCGGCGACCGCGCGGGTGAGCAGTGCGGGGGTGCGCACTCCACCCAGCGCTGCTTTGGCCGCCTGACGGACGCTTGGCATCACCAGTTCCCTGAGGCCACTGAGATCCCCCACTGGGGCGAGCTGTCTAGGGCGGGTGTAGCTGTCTTTGACCTTGACTTTGATGCTATTCTTGCTGCCATGTATGCTGTGACTATTAGTGATGAGGGTGACTGTTACCGATGAGGGCATTGAGACTGCTGCTCTAGGTACTGGTGAGGCTGCTGCTCTAGGTGCTAGCGAGGCTGCTGCTCTAGGTGCTAGTGCGTCTGCTCCCTCAGGTGCTGGTGAGTCTGCTCTCTCAGGTGCTAGTTTGCCCCACCACTCTCACCGTTGACCTCCTCGAGAAGGCCCTCCTAGCAGCAGAGAAGAGCATAGTCGCTGTAGGAGCCTCTCGTGGTGACCCTCGCACCCCCGTCTTTGAGGGGTGCTGGTGAGTCAGCTCCCTCAGGTGCTAGTTTGCCCCACCACTCTCACCGTTGACCTCCTCGAGAAGGCCCTCCTAGCAGCAGAGAAGAGCATAGTCGCTGTAGGAGCCTCTCGTGGTGACCCTCGCACCCCCGTCTTTGAGGGGTGTTCCCCCTCCCCCCTTTTGCCCTCTGTTGCCTCTGCTGCTGCGGCCGACCTCGTTGGTTTCGAGTCGGTCGGCGCTGCGTCTGCCCCGAGCGGGAGACGCCGCACCGGCAAGGGCAAGGGGGGCAAGGGTGCTGGAGGGGCTGGCGGGGGTGGCGGAGGTGGCGGTGGAGGCAGTGGAGGGGGTGGGGGTGGTGGTGGGAGTGGTGGCGGGGTTGGAGGTGTCGGTGGCGGCAGTGGAGGCGGAGGCGGCGGCGGCGGTGGCGGTGGGAGCGGAGGTGGTGGAGGTGGCGGCGGTGGAGGAGGCGGCGGCGGAGGAGGTGGAGCTGGTCGGGGTGGCACTGCGCAGAGGGTCGGCTCCGGTGGTGGTCAGCGCCAGCAGCAGCAGCAGCAGCAGCAGCAGCGCACTCGTGACATCCCCCTCCCTCAGCAGCTCCGTGAGTGGTACGCTGCACGCCAGCGGGGTGGGGGTACTGGTCCGTGCACCTACGTCCTACGCACCGGCGACCGCGCGGGTGAGCAGTGCGGGGGTGCGCACTCCACCCAGCGCTGCTTTGGCCGCCTGACGGACGCTTGGCATCACCAGTTCCCTGAGGCCACTGAGATCCCCCGCTGGGGCGAGCTGTCTAGGGCGGGTGTAGCTGTCTTTGACCTTGACTTTGATGCTATTCTTGCTGCCATGTATGCTGTGACTATTAGTGATGAGGGTGACTGTTACCGGTGAGGGCATTGAGACTGCTGCTCTAGGTACTTGTGAGGCTGCTGCTCTAGGTGCTAGCGAGGCTGCTGCTCTAGGTGCTAGTGCGTCTGCTCCCTCAGGTGCTGGTGAGTCTGCTCTCTCAGGTACTGCGTCGGTTTCGGCCTCCCACACCTTCACCCTTGACTCGGGGGCTTCTCGCTCCTTCTTTCGAGACCGCACCACACTCACGCCGCTTGGCCGGCCAGTTGCAGTCTCTCTGGCAGACCCCTCTGGGGGTCCTGTCCTTGCTCACTTCTCCACTGTCCTCCCGTGTCCGACGGCCCCCTCTGGCACCCTGTCTGGTCTTTACCTCCCCTCGTTCTCTACGAACTTGGTGAGTGGTGCTGACCTACAGGATGCGGGGGTTCACCAGTTCACTCCTGCGAGTCAGCGGGTGACCCACTGCACGGACGCTCGGACAGGCCGACACCTGGCCACGTTTACACGTCGGCCGGGGTCGAGCCTGTACACACTGACCACTGCGTCTCCTCCAGTCACTGCGTCTGGTCAGGTAGCTGCGTCGGGTCAGGTGTTTGCTGCAGCGTCCAGGTCTGGTCCTGAGTCTGCCCCCTGTTCGTGTCGCCTCCTGTCTCACGAGACTCTCCTCTGGCACCACCGCCTTGGTCACCCCTCCCTGCTTCGTCTCCGAGGCATGGCCTCCCGTGTCCTTGTCTCTGGTCTTCCCCGGTCCCTCCCTCCCCTTCCTCCGGGGCCTGGCCCTACCTGCGTCCCCTGTGTCGAGGGGCGGCAGCGGGCTGCCCCTCACTCCTCCCAGTTTCCTCCGACAGAGGCCCCGCTGCAGACGCTTCACATGGACGTGTGGGGCCCGGCCCGCGTCCGTGGACAGGGTCACGAGCGCTACTTCCTGCTGGTGGTTGACGACTACTCGCG